TTTTTTTTCTTATTCCTCTTTGTACTTTTCGCATATTTGACATTTATCTCGACTGAGATGCCACATTTCATCATTTTAAATAAAAAGGAATAATCAGCTGTTTTTCGCTGTTAAGCAAGAGTTAGAGAATCACACAATTGTTAGTGCAAACGGCAAAAGTTGTTATGTAACCTAACAATTTTTTTATTGCTAAGAGTTACAGAATCGCACTACTGAATTGCAAATGAATATCGATGGTCCTCTGCAATAACGACACAACTCAAAACTCAAAAAAGAAAATCCCTTATTACTGTTAAGAGGCTTATGTCTCTAATCCTTGGCTAACCCATGTCTAATCCTAACTAAAGTAAGTAGTAAAGATTATACATGAATAAGATAACGATTAAAGACGCGTACGAGTTTTTATGTTTTGAATTTTCAATTGTGTCGTTATTGTAGAGGACCATCGATATATTTATGACAGGAAAAGGTTAAATATATATACTTTTGCAAAAAAACTGAAACTCAGTCGAAAACCGCAGTTTACGAACAGCTGTACCTTATCTATATTGTATATAAAAATCCCGTGTCACTGTGTTCGTTTACGATAATCTCTGAAATCGCTTAACCGATTTCAATCAAATTTTGTGGGTGTGTATTGTTGGTTCCAACTTAAAAGATAGGATTATTTTTAACTAGAGAAAAAATATATTGTTTTTTTTCATCGAAATTTTTTCCATGCCTCTCGTATCGTGCTTATCTCTCTATATATAAAAAATGTAGTGAAAAATGTATAGTAATTCATTAATTGAGAACGGTTGGACCGATTTGGCTACAATTTTTTTAGATGTTTTTTATTGCCAGGAGAAGGTTTTTACGAAAGACAATTTTGGGTAACCCTCCGGGAAACGCGGGAAATTGGAAAAATCGAAACTGAATTTTGTGTGCGATTCCTTCGGATTGGCTTTCGAAAGGAAAAAAAGGGAAATTTTTTAGTGGAAAACTCGGCAAAATCCGTAAGAACGCGAAAAATTTGATTTTTTACGACGAAATTTTGTATCTTATCGCATAATTTGATGATTTTAGACCACCATCGAGCCGCAAGGACTTCTTCCCGGTACAACGCTTTCGTTAGGTTATTTAAGATAGCAAAAGAGGATATGCCTTCTGTCGACCACAAAACCAAACGTGAACGTGAATTGCTGGCGAAAACGTTGGACCAAATGTTTCAATAAAAAAATTAAATTTGGGCGGGACGCAGTTCGCCGGGTCTGCTAGTATGATATGTAATAAAATACAAAAACTGTAGTGTTTCCTATTGATATTTTATGTTCAAAAGTAGTTAGTTACAAGTTAGTTACATCAAATGTGGAGGTAACCACCCTTGACTACATCTAATGCGGAGGTAAACCACCCTTGATTATTTCACGGCCAACGCCATAGAAATATAGCTAGCTTTCGTCAAAGAAAATATACAGATAATAAGTGACTTTTAGCTCCTGCCTTATCAACTTAAAGTTAGCTTATAGATACATTTCCTGCAGGGTAGTTGTATTCTGCCGCGTTCTCATCATTAAGCTGATGCCAGATACAACTTTGTGGCTTTCGTGACATTTATAACCTTGCCAGCAAAGCGCAAGACGCAAAAGGAATACCACAAGGAAACAATTTTGAATTGCTTTTTTGCTCGTGAAAATTGCGGTGGGTTTTCTATATTTAGTTTTAAAAATATCAGCAAAATACAATACACTGGTTTACAGCAAAAATGTTCTGTGGATGCCACTATCCAATTCCTATGTAGAATTGCTCGGTGATTCCGAAAATGGATAGGTTTTCAAGATATTTTCAATTTACCGTTATTCTGCTTAAAGCAAAAATTGGTGCGTTTTAATCACTTATATCGTACGAACCAATTTAATCATGTCCATATAAAATACGACAAATGAAAGCTAATAAAATTCTCTAAATTCTAAATTATAGTTTCCGACAAATTAATTAACCACTAATTTTTTTTTTATGAAAAAATGAATAAAATCATTAAAAATTATTCTCCTGTTATAATTTAAAAAAAAATTACAGGTTCTGTGCCAAATTTTTGGCTAAAGCTTATTCTGTGGCAAAAAAAGATCAAATTACTAATGAAGAATATCGATGAATAAATAAGAAATAATGAGTGGTCAAATGAAAATACGCAACGATTATTTGTATGAAACACGAGCAGAAAAGTGTGTTACTCTGGAATACGTGGCGTATGAGTAACTTTCTTTCCTGCTCATTTTTCATTAAAAAAAAATCTTTGCGCATTTTAATTTGATTATTTCTTATTTATCCATCGATTTTCTTCATTAGTAATTAGATTTTTTTTGCCACAGAATGCAGGCTTTAGCACAGATGTAAAAATTTGACACAGAACCTGCTATTTTTTAAATTTTTCTTGTGTTGAAGTTTGATTTCGTTCATTTTTTCATTAAAAAATAACAAAAATTGGAATGATTACTTAATTTTTCAGAAACTATCAGTCATATTCGAAAGTAATGTGTATATGGTTTATGGAGAATTTCATTAGATTTGATTTGACGTATCTCCTTTTAAAATTGTTAAATTGGTTCGAAAGATATACGTGATTAAGTGGAATCACTTTTTGTTTTGAGCTGAATAATGGTAAATTTGAAAGTATCTCGAAAACGAATCCATAGAAAAAAAAAACATAGAAATTGGATAGTGGCGTCTGGAGAAAAAAAAAACTAAACTAAAATTTGTGATCCAGTGATATAAAACCAGCTGATGATAAACGCGCGAAAAAAGATGGGAGTTGGCCATATTTTGACTTCGCGCTATGGCTAAAACGATCTATGTATCTAAGATGCTTCATGCATTTTAATATATGTATGTATTTCATCATATCTGTCAAAGCGAATCTGGCATCTGCGTACACGCGCGTGCTCGTTCCCTGATTTATTGATAAATTATTTTGCAAAACTATAACTAAAACGTGCGCGAGTTGACCTCAATTTTAGCACCTAAACTAATAGTCGGCTGGAAATTTGCAGCACTGCTACAATTTGGGTAAACAACTGCTGAAACTATGCGAATTCATCTGGCAACTTAAATTGTTTAAACAAACAATAAAAAAGAAAAAGTGGGGGTGGTCCACCTTCTTTCATTGATAATTATGTAATAGGGGTGGCGCACAGTGGGGCAAAAAGGTTGCTGTGGGCAAATGAATTTTGAGAGCCCAAATATGAACCGATTTCAAGTTTCATTTAATTAAATTTCGCGTCGATCTACTCATGTCGATTTTTTAAAAAAGCTTTGGTTTTTTATTTATTTATGTTGAAAAATGAAAGAAAAAAAGTTTTACGTTTGAATGCTTCCACTTTTTTGGAAAATACTTGAAATTAATTTCAAATATCTGCAATTCATTAAAAAAATATTCATAACCATTTTTCCATAGGATACGTTTAATTTAATAATAGGGGTATTGCAAAGCCCTTGCATGGTGCACAGATTGCACGGATTGCACGGTTAAAACCGGTTTTCGTATGGGACAGCTTTGCAAACCGTGCAATCCGTGCACCGTGCAAGGGCTTTGCAAGACTCAGAGAATACCCCTAATGTATTTCATTCGTTATCTGTACTAATATATATTTTAAAGTAGTTTTTTTCGCTTTTTTCCAATCGAAAAACTCGAGAACAGCTGTACCGATATTATTGAAATTTTAGACATCGAATTTATACCCTCAAAGGATGATAATAGAAGAAAAATAATTTCGATATATCGATAAATAATCGATAAAAAAATGTATAAATAATTAATAACAAAATCGATAGTAAAAATCGTTTAGAAAATCGATAAATAATCGATAACAATATCGATAACAAATTCGATAACAACATCGATAGCAAACCAATAATATCGATAACAAAATCGTTAAAAATATCGATTAAAAAATCGATAAAAATCAATAAAAATGCCGATAACAAAATTGACACAAATATCGACAAGTTCCGAAAATATCTATAATTATATGGATACAAATTTCGGTAATTTTGTTAAAAATATCGATAAAAACATCGATTATTATATCGATAAGTCCCAAGAATCCCGTAAATCTCTAAAATCCCAAAATAGTTCCCAGATTGAGTAACTGTGTCTCTATCTATATCCTTTTCTCTATAGTTATCCTTATTTTAATCTTACTTCCTCTATCTTCATCTTTATTTTTATCGGTATCCTCATCTTTTTCTTTATATTTGTCTTTGTTTTTACTTTTATGTTTATCATTTTCCTCATCTACAATGGTATTTACTACCAAATGAAAGAGAAAATTCTGTAGTATAAAAACATAAAAGTGTTTTGGTTTAAAATAACGAATATGTATTTCACGCTAATAAAGTTAGGAGGACGAAATTCGAGTATGTGGTCCTTAACACATAATTGCATAAATATTGCAAGTTTTCAAGGATGTTCATGGAAAAAATTTTTAAAGGACATTTTCCATACCCATTCGTTCTTATACATTCACAAATTTAATCCGTTTTAATTTTGAATGATTTTTTGAACTAATCATATCTTTAAAAGTACTTAAAAAAAAAATCCTGACGTCAGATAGAATAACTAAATGCGCTGTTTTACTATATTTTTCCCATAATTTCGGGAACATATTATTTTTATAGTGTATAAACTTTAATGTCGCACGGTATTATCAGTGTCAACTGAAATTAGAATAGATACAGCAAGTTACAATATATGTGAGTATGTTCTTTACATTAATTCATACGTTCATACAAATACATATACATACTTATATCGCACATTTAATAATATTGAGATGTAACTAAAAATTTACGTTTTTGGATATTACATTATGCACTTAATAAGCTTGATAAGAAGAATATGTCCAGTCTAACAGGTAATGTCTTTCTTACCTATCTTCTTGTATACCAACTGTACGAATTGATAAAACTTTGATTGAGTTTGCCCACAAAATTGAAATTTTAAAATGCTTCGTTATATAATTAAACGTGTCGATATGTACCTACATAAAAACCAAATACATATAAACTACCACTTTAATGGGAAGTAGAAAATTACAATTAAAAAATGGCTTACGCTCAAGATACTAAAACTAATTTTACGGCATACACACGCCTTCGACTGAAAATATTATTACTGTGTCAAGCAGAATATTTTAAAATACCTTGCAATAAAAACGACCAGCCCGGAAGGGATCCGGGATCACTCGCAAAGGAATATGCGCATTTGATCCCTTTATATGGCTGAACCGATCCCATTAGTTCAAGTAGTTATGTATGTCATATAAAGAGACTAACAGCCCTATTCCCATGCCAATGATAAAACTTAACGGCTGTCAATTGTTTTCCTACTGCGCCAAAATCTATGCCGCAAATTTATTTTAAGCACTCTAATGGTCACAATTGTCATTGTTAATGTTATAACCTACTGAGTACGCGACAACGGCGAAGCACTGTTTATATTACCCAGTATCGAAAATAATCACCGGTGACATCGTCACTAATGAGGATTTAGTGACATAGTCGCACTTGCTGTGAATCCTAAACGACATGAAGGTATACTCCTATCAAATACTTATAACAGACAATGTCTTGCAGCGGTCACTTTTAAAATGACCATTACAAGATACTGTCCCTTGAATGTCATTAGTGATCTGTGCATGACCAAGTCATGCAGATGACATCAACGACCAAATTACCATTTATATGAAAAAGTCATGAACGACTTCCATACAGACGGAGCTCAGAGTCATTTAAGACGTAACTTTTCCGTACAAGACTCTTAAGTGACTAATGCATGACATTCGCTACGGGGTAGTGGAATTCGCTCTTCTGTGTATTCGTTGTATCTTGTGTAATTGTAACTGAATGAGCGTGTGATTTGTTGTTGCTAGTGGTACAAAATATGGGATAAATTGTCTTTACAAAAATACCAAACAAGCTCACATTGCAGATAACGAATTTTTCGATTTTTGCTCACTTAGGCGGCACTGTTCGGCGATGTGAGATACACCCTTTCCATACTATATTTACTAATGATATGTATTTTGCACGGCTGCTTTTGATGTGTCCAGGCACTTTCGAGCACAAACTGGCATTGAACAAACTTACCAGGAGTGAAGGGCATGGAATAATACAATATGATTCACAAATCTTAGTTGAAAAGTATGGGATAAAGGCGAAGAATCCATGTATTATTGGTTCTTACCCTTATTGGTCATCCCACGACAAAACGCTGTTGCACAAGTGCCTCAGGGATGCTTATATCAGCAAATTTTCTATTGTTATCAATCAATCAATCTTGTGCAGATTTCCAGGGCATCAGTCAAAGCGACTGAAACACTTGGGTTCACGTTTCATGAATATCTTTGCAGAGAAAGCGGATAAAGAAAATTTACCTTTTGTGAAATGTTATTTAATTGGTTTTATTGTGGTGATTTTAGCCTTACAAGCATTATTGCCGTTTTGGGGAATTTGGATTTTGGAAACTACCAGCTCGGAAAAGAGGTATTGGATTAAATTTTTTCTTGAAAAAGTAGTTTGCTAAATTACTATAGGTCGCCTTTGACCAGCATAAAGACTGGTTTTCACTATGTCATATTTTGACGCCAAAATTTGGCGACATATTTTGACACAACTTTATCTCCTTTTTCCATACCTTTTCCGATGATATTATGGGCCTAAAATTGACAGACAGCCGATTTCGCAGCGCATGTACCCGACTAAAGACCTATCCTGATCCAAATCAATCGATAAACCGCTTTCTGTTCCTTTTTGACAATGTGTTTTCACTTATTTGACTACAAATGCCACTGAATTTGGCACAGTGAAAACCAGCCTTTATATTTTAGTAGTTTTCCATATAAACATATAGCTAACTTAGAGTGAAAAGTTGCTAGGTCCGAATTTAAAATTTCATGGAGAGAGAAAAACTTATATAGAAATTTTCTTCATGTATTTAGCAAAAAAATTATAGTTTGATCAAAAAGTGTAAATTTTGACAAACTGCACGTACAAAATAATTGCGATTTTGTGGAGAAAAAATATAATGGAATTTAAGCACTACGTATGGAATCTAACGGCTGGGTATAGTTTGGGCAAAGCCTTAAACTCCCCGAGTTTTAAAAATTATTATTATTTTTTTTCTTAATTCACTGCGACTAGCCGTACAGTATTCAAAAATAATTCATACATTAGTAGTCTGTTCGAATAGATCTCTAGTGAAAAATGTCTAAATTTGCAATTTATCCCAAGAAGTACGCGAACGCAAAATTATCAAAAACTTGTTTTTAGTATAGCTGATCGAAATTTTGTTTACATACAAATGCATGAAACTGAAAACACTAAATTAATATAAATTTATAAGGTTTGCTTAAAGTAATTTCCTAAGAAAATGTAAATAAATGAGTATTTGGTTTATTCCGAGACATTTGCTAGACGTGCAAGTTGATTTAAACTGAAAAATTATCAAAATAAATTTCATAATTTTCATAAATAGCAAACAAATTTTTTTGATCAGCTGTTTTTCTTGCTGGCAAATGGCTGCTGGTAAAAATTTTTCCAGCAGGAATTAGGAAGTACCCCTCCAAATCAACTGTCACTTTGCGCTCTCAATTTTCGCTACTTTGCAAGTTTTTTGCGAACGCGAACGCCAAAACCTGATAATTTGTGATAATTTGCAATAATTATCTGCTTGTCGAACAGACTATAGCTCTGATCTAATATTTTTCATGTAAAATCCTGTAAAAATGTCAAACAGCAAAATTACTCTCTGAAGTGAGAGTAAAAAGTGAGTAACAACAAAAAGTACGGGATCATTTTTCCTCTAACTTCCTGCAAGTTCATGGAGTACTGGATCAAAGCTGTTATATACGCATTTTCTTCAAATTTTTTTTTTTTTTCAGTTACATTTAAAAATGTTAATAAATACCTTCATATCTACACAGGTATATACGTATCATAACGAGTATCCGGCCACAGATGCAACTTATCCGGTTGACAATCTGTTAGAAGAAAACCAACGAATTAAGCCAAAAATTGGTTTGCACACAATTACCGGCATCCGACTGATTTATCTAAATTGGGACGGATTTTTTTGAAGAGGATGGCAAATACATATGTACATCTGTGAGTGTATATCTTTATACACAAATATTTAGTTACTCTTGAGATTTAATGCTTATTGCTTGTGTGGCAGATGTTGGTAGTGCCACATAATGGGCCTCTTTGTGATAAAGCCCTAAATACATAATTAAATTAAGATACATAAGTCGGTCGATGTACTGATATATGAAACTTTATGATTTTTATTCACCCTTGGATTTACAAATGCGTGCTTATTTATACTATGTATATGCGCCGTTAGCGAATTTTTTTATTTTTTTTCAGTGCAAGGCGGACATTTTTTTCCGGTGATATCCGATCATATAAAACAAAAAGTGAATTTTGAATTTTTTATTAGTTATGACTTTTTGCATTTCAGCGATGATGTTTGTTACGTCTTATAATTGCATATGTTTTGTGTCGATAAAGAAATATTTGGTGCTACGCATGCAAAAATATGTACATATATACATATATATATATATGTATACGCACACACATTTGTATGCATATTAGGGTGGTCCCAAACACGTAAGATCGGAATTTTTTTTGCTCTCANTGCACACACATTTGTATGCATATTAGGGTGGTCCAAAACACGTAAGATCGGAATTTTTTTTGCTCTCACCTCCTCGGATTGTTCTATGTCAAAGAAATATACTCATATTTTTTATTTTGAAATCAAAGAAAAAATATTTAGAGGTCGCTTAATGCGCTCAAAGTTTTCCGTGTATTTCATATGGGAAAAATCCATTTTTTATAGAAATGTTATAAGAAATATTGAAAATGAATATTTTATACTTTATGATTTGTTTGTAATAATAAAAATGTGAGTATTACAATCAGTTTACCATTAATTTTAAAAAGTTTTATTTCATCGTTGTTTTAATGCATTCAGTTATTTAATTTTTACTCATATTCATAAAAGTTATGTCTCAATTTGAAGCCCGGTATCAATCCCCGAATCCCGGGATTACTTAAAAGATATCCGGAAACCCCGGGATCACCCCGACGTGCTCGTGGTCGCCCTGGCTTTCGTTGTCTACCCATGGGTGCGGAATCGAAGTATCTTTTCACCGGAGCGTCGTCATCCATGCGTACAACATGTCCAAGCCAGCGCAATCGTTGTATTTTTATGCGCTTAACTATGTCCATTTCGATAAAAACTCGTACAGTTCGTTATTCCATCGTCTTCGGTACTCGTCGCTCACGCGAAAGGGGCCATAGATTTTGCGAAGAACAGTTCTCTCGAAAGCCCCCAAAGCCTTCTCATCTTTGTTAGACATCGTCCATGTTTCTACGCCATAAGGACGAGTATGATGAGAGATTTGTAGATCGCGATTTTCATTCGTCGAGAGAGTTCTTTGCTTTTCGTTTGCCTACCGAGCACAAATTAGCATCTGTTGGCAAAAGTTATTCTTCGCTTTGTCTCCAGACTGACATTATTGGTAGTGTTTGTGCTGGATCCTAAGTAAAGGATCCTAAGTCCTACACTACTTCAAAGTTGTGACTGCCAACAGTCCTAATACGCGAGGACTTTTTATGTGTTGCCAGGAAGTTTTTTGTCTTGTACTCGCTCACCGCCAGACCAACCTCGTTGTTATTAAGTTAGGGGCAGTTTTGTTAAGCAAAAGTTTGCCTAAAAATTTGTTACGATGCCATTTAATGCTTAGTGGAAATTCGTTATAAAATTATTATTTGATATCAAATTAAAATTGTCCGAGTCCAATAAGGTTTTGTTCAATATTTTATGTCAATATGTACATATGTATGTACAGATGTTGATCCCAACGACTATCTGGCCACAAACCTATCACAGTTGACGATCAGAAAAAATAGAACCTACTTTAGCCAAAAATTAGTTCACAAACAATTGCCGGTATCTGATCG